CCATCGTAAAGGAATTGCGTTTTAATTTAAATCTCCGAACTTCTGAAGCTGACATATCCTATGAATGTAGGCTTGTAATGCAGGCTACAATTTAAAAACGGGTGGGACTCATTCAAAAATTCGAGGGGGTTCGCTAGAAAACAGGGGGGTTCGCTAGAAAAGGGGGTTCGCCCGAACCATAAAAACCCCCCTGGCTACGGGCCTGCGCATAAACCGACGCTTTCGATTCGTGCGAATAAATTCGCCTAGTGGAAAACAGGCTTTACGTTAATACAGTTGCAGGAACGTTCATACCTTATAACGTTGTAAATTTAGGTTAGAATTACGCATTTACAGTTATACAATATAACGTTTTCAACACCAAACCGTAACATTATTATAACGTCATAGGCCTATTGTTAGCTGGGAATGAGCTACAATAAAATTAATCATTATTTTGAGTTTCTTGTATTTGTTAATGTCCAATTTTGGTTACTTTCGTTCGATGTGAAATATAAGCTAATGGTATGGCAATTTTCACTCAAAATCAAAAACAGCTTGCGGCGGCAGGCACCTAACATAGAAATAATCATAATTTTAACAAAATTATACAAATATTAAGCGGTAGATACATCAACATGTACGGGTTCTCACAACTTTCACGCCGAATATAAGTAGAATCACACAATTAAACAACTCCGCAACAAATTTAAATTATGCATGATGCCAACATACGAAGGCACATCCCGTCGGCTGAAGCCGTTGTATCAAAGCAAAGATACTAGAAACACAAGATAGAGTTCTCCACAGAAAAAAAAAGAAAAAAAGTGTTCCACCGAAATACATGGTACGACTGGATCTAAAAAACTTCTACCAAACTTTCGTTATAGACCAGGCTATAACTGAGATAGTTGGCACTTGGAGAGGTAGAAATTCTCATATGGTTTTTCTAGACCAGTTTTTTTTTTTATGGGGAATCAGAATATGTGAGGTAAAAGAGGCATAACCTGAGAACTTTCGCGTGAGGGCGCTTTTTTCAAAATGGCCGCCAAAATCCAATAAACTACATATATATATATATATATATGGGTAAAATAAGCACAGAAGAGGTAGGTTTGACCAACTTTTGAATATGTAATGATAGGAGTAAAGTATAAACTATATATAGTTCTTAATGTGAAGATTTAGAAAGGCAATTGAGGGCACTTTTTAAAATTGCCGCCAAAATTAAAAAAAAAAACAATTTAACAGCAGCTTCAATACCCTAAATAAATTTGTTTAATTTACAAAACATGAATGTAATAACTGCTGTTGGTTTTTTAAACCCAAAATAACATATTTTAGGGTGGTAAGCTAACTCACTTTTGAAAATGTAAGTAAAAATGCCCCCTTATATTAGCCCTTTTCTGTTTTTGGAAAACATTTTTCATGTATAAAGGCAATAATCTTCATGTATTGCTAATATCACTACAATCTGAAAGTCTTCCTCTTTATTATAAACAGTTCTTGGACGTCCATGGGCATCACTGTCTCAATCATTTTTTGCTTCATTTGATCATTCCATCTGTTGTGAATACTATTTTCACTGACCAAATCATTTACGTCTGCTTAATTTCCATTCTTTAGCGATTAAATTTCCTCAAGTGCTCAAAGGTCTGCTTGCAAACATGGTGGTAGCAATGATATGTCTGTGATCTTGTTGCCTCTATTGAACATTTTACATCGATGCCTCCAGAATGGAACGGTTGATATTTGTGTATTGGTTGTAATTCCTTAAAGTATGCATTGCATGCAGGACAACTTTCGAGTCTGCTTTTCTTGGCTGCTACGAAGATTTGGAACTAATACAAAATCTCTTTCAGTGACGATGCAATAGTATTCAAGTATCAATAGTATTCAAGATAGCAATATTATTCAAGAAGGTATCCAGCCAGTTTGTCGAAATCCAGTTTGCCGAATCCAGTTGTTCACTGAAATCATGAAATCCCAGTTTGCAGAAACAACCAAAGCATATATTATCCCTTTCTCGAGACATCGATATTACAGACAATTACACCCCGGCTTTCTTTCGTAAAGGAAAACGTAGCTTCTGTAATCATAAACTGAGTTTGTTGAAACTTTCAGCAACTTCGGAGTTTTAAATGTTCTGTCACAAAAGTTGTCTGAAGAACAAGAGTATGTCTTACTGCTGCTTGGAGTTAAGGAGAAAAGTGTAAATCAAGCAAGTAACATGTTCAATAGAAAGTTTTGCAGAGACAAGATCACTGACATATCATTGTTGCCACCATGTTAGCAGAATCTCGAGCTTCAGATACTTAGCAAACTTAATCGTTCAAGAATGAAAATAAGCAGAGGTAAATGACTGTCAATAAAAATAGTTGATGGAACAGATGGAATAAACAAATTCCCATGGAAGTCCAAGAATTATTCATACGATAAATACGAAGACTTTCAGATTGCAGTGATAAAAGCGAAAAAAAAGAAAAAAAAAAGAGAGATTATTGCTCAACATAGGGCTACACAGTTAAACACTACAAGACAAATATGTAGTGAATGAATTGATGCCTTCTTCATACATGAAAATTGTGGTAGTTGTCTGGAATACCTTCTTGTATAGCACACAGAAATAATGAAAAACAACCGGATATTTGTAAGGAAGCTGGATTTTTTTTTAGAATTCTAGTGATATTTTCCATTCTTTAAAACTAAAAAGGGCTAATATAAGGGGGCATTTTTACTTACAATTTCAAAAGTGAGTTAGCTTTACACCCCTAAAATATGTTGTTTTAGGTTTAAAAAGTCAACAGCAGTTGTTACATTCATGTTTTTTAAATTAAACAAATTTATCTAGGGTATTGAAGCTGCTGTTAAGTTATTTAATTTTGGCGGCCATTTTAAAATTTCCCCCGAATTCTTCACATTAATACCTTTAGCTAGTTATACTTTACTCCTATCATTACATATTCAAAAGTTGGTCAAACCTACCTCTTCTGTGCTTATTTTACCCATATATATGTAGTTTATTGGATTTTGGCGGCCATTTTGAAAAAGCGCCCTCACGCGAAAGTTCTCGGGTTACACCCCTTTTGCCTCGCATATTCTGATTCCTTATAAAAAACTGCTCTAGAAAAACCATATGAGAATTTCTACCTCTCCAAGTGGCACCTATCTTAATTATGGCCTGGTCTATTACAGAATAGGATAAAAAACTATTTTTTACTCTCATTTCGTGCCCCCCCCCCCTTTGACCCCCCCTCTAGCT